CGAGAGCACGAATGCAAAGTTTCGTCGAAGAAATCACAGACGGCTGCTTGCTCCTCGCTGAGATGTCCATTTACGCTGACGTCCGTCACCCGATGACGAGCGCGACGAAGCCTGACCCCACTGCCCTCCGGGTCTTCTGAGCACTCCCCATCTGGGCGCTCAACCCCGGTGCCCTTCACAACGAACAGTCGGCCGCTGGGTAAGGCACCCTCGGCCCGCTCTGCCGTCTGTCGCCGCTCGCGCTGCGCGTCCAGACCGTCCTCTTCCGGCGGCAGGAGCCCCTCCACCGGTGTTGGCTCCACCGCCGGCTCCTCTGCCGCCACCTCTTCCGCCGCCACCTCCTCGTCGATGGGCGCCAGCGGCCCGGGCGCCGAGTGGCAGCGATTGTGGGCGGTCGGCCGACGCCGCCACGCGGGCGGCGTGGTGACACGCGCCTCAAACACGCGCGTCTCGCCCTCCGGCAGCGGGTCCTCGCTGCCGGCTGTGACCGTCACTACCGCCGAGTTGTAGTTGCCCATGCCCGCTGAGGCGGCCGCCGAGCGCAGCAAAAAGCGCTGACTGGCTCACAGGGTATTAATGTGCCACGACGGTCGGGCCGAGGGCGTCCTGGCTCGGGGGCGTCGAGTTCTAAAGGCCCCGCAGGCTTCACGAGATCGAGTGGCGGCTTCCCGCGAACGAGGCTGCGGTCTGTACTATGTCTGCACCAGTTTATCCAGCCTTGACTCGACCTCTCTCAGGATAAACATCGCATGTCACCGCGGGCCCCTCGCCATCGATAAACGTGTTTTCACACCACAGGCCTGCCGAAATGGTGCGGATCAACAGCCTATTCCATGCCGTGCATGATGGCTTAAAGGACATCTCCTATGCTCGGGCCCTCATGGAAACCTCACTCGAACAGATCAGAAACCTGCCAGTGGGGTGAGACGATGAAAGGGGCGCCAGAAAACTAGCCCTACCAGTATTCTATCGGTGTCATCTTTTCATCCCCCTTCCCACTTCCGTCCAACGCCGAAAACCACCGCGACTACAAAGTGCAAAACTTAACCAGCACCATCTCCTAGTCCTCACGAGGCATCACATAACGTCCACCTCAGGCTCCAGCCCCTGCCCGGTTGCTGTCCGGCTCCTGTGCGGCTCCTGTGCGGCTCCTGTCCGGCTTCGGCTCCGTCGCCTGCCACCGACCCAGTCAGGAGTCTGACATGGCTGCCGCCCCAGTCAGGAGTCCGACATGGCTGCCGCCCCGGTCAGCAGTCTGACCTAGCTGCCGCCCCGGTCAGCAGTCTGACCTAGCTGCCGCTCCCGTCCGGCACTGCAGTCCGCGCTCGGCCACTCCAGCGCGCAGCCCACAGCCCAGCCTGCCTCCAGTCGGGCAGCCCACAGCACAGCCTGCCTCCAGTCGGGCAACTCACAGCCCAGCCTGCCTCCAGTCGGCACTGCCGCGCACTGTCGCCACTTCTGCCCCGGCAGCGGGCCTCGGGCGACACCGACCGCCGCCTGGTCGCCGCAGCGGCGATAAAGTTGCAACGACGGCCCACCGCCGGCCGTATACCGTTTCGGTCGTGCACCAAGGTAAATAAACAATGGCGGCGGCATCGACAGACGAGCGGCGATTGATGATCACGATCGACCAATCAGAGGCGGCGTCTGCTGGGAGGTCGGCGGGGGCCACCCGCCCCGAACAGAGGCCGCCGACCTGTGAAAGCGGACGGGGTCTGACTGGCGCAGCGGAACGTACGACAGCGGACGGGATCTGACGGCAAGGCAGGGCGTACGACAGCGGACGGGGTCTGACCGGCGAGGCTGGGCGTACGACAGCGGACCTGGTCTGACCGGCGAGGCCGGGTGTGCGACGGCGGGACCGGGTCTGACCGGCGAGGCCGGGCGTACGACAGCGGACCTGGTCTGACGGCAAGGCAGGGCGTACGACAGCGGACCTGGTCTGACGGCAAGGCAGGGCGTACGACAGCGGACCTGGTCTGACCGGCGAGGCAGGGTGTACGACAGCGGACCTGGTCTGACGGCAAGGCAGGGCGTACAACAGCGGACCTGGTCTGACGGCAAGGCAGGGTGTACGACAGCGGACCTGGTCTGACGGCAAGGCAGGGCGTACGACAGCGGACCTGGTCTGACGGCAAGGCAGGGTGTACGACAGCGGACCTGGTCTGACGGCAAGGCAGGGTGTACGACAGCGGACCTGGTCTGACGGCAAGGTAGGGCGTACGACAGCGGACCTGGTCTGACGGCAAGGCAGGGCGTACGACAGCGGACCGGGTCTGACCGGCGAGGCCAGGCGTACCACAGCGGACCAGGTCTGACGGCGAGGCAGGGCGTACGACAGTGGACGGGGTCTGACCGGCGAGGCCGGGCGTACCATAGCGGACCTGGTCTGACGGCGAGGCAGGGCGTACGACAGTGGACGGGGTCTGACCGGCGAGGCCGGGCGTACGACAGCGGACCGGGCGTTCGCGAACACGACCGTTGTTTGTGTACTGTGTCGTGGGGTACTGTCATGTGCCAGGTGGAAGATCGCCACAGCTCGAGGCGTGGCACTGGACACATTGTGAGCAAACCAATGCAATGAAAAAGATGACCTTGGGGACAAGAGGAAACGGGGATAAACCCGAAAATCCCAACGCTTGTCACTCTTGAGACCACTTATGCTGCAGCGATGGTTCCATTACATGCAACAGCGCTTGTACCAAACAGCTAGACAATCTCAACGCAGCTGATGTTTCTTACGCCGTGTCCCCGTCATTACCGTTGGACAACGCGCCCATCCCGCCTGCGGGCATCCCCAGACGGCCTGACATCAAACCCAGCCACGGCACATCAAACCCAGTCACCGCTCATCAAACCCAGCCACCGTACGTCAAGCTCAGCCACCACACATCGGGCTCAGCCAGCGGGCATCAAAGGCAGACGGCCGGACGTCGTAGTTGGACGGTCCGACATTTGGTGGCGCCGTGTAACGGCTGCCGTCCAGCCGAGGTCGAGGCTGGTCAGACCAGGTCGTGGCTGGTCAGGCCGGGACGGGGCTGGTCAGGCCGGGACGGGGCTGGTCAGGCCGGGCCGGGGCAGGTCAGGCCGGGGCTGGTCAGGCCGGGGCTGGTCAGGCCGGGTCGGGGCTGCTCAGGCCGGGGCTGGTCAGGCCGGGCCGGGGCTGGTCAGACCGGGCCGGGGCTGGCCAGACCCGGACCGCGCCCCCGCTAGAGCAGGCCACGCTGCGCGTCGCACGCTGTCCCGGTTGCGGACCTCAGCGCGTATTAAAAACGATGATCTGACGTTGAGCGACAAAACGGCCCCTAAATGGCTCCAAAATCAACGGAGACGTATTGCACACATGATTTGGCGCATGCTATTTGATCATGAAACTGGGTGTAGTGGAATCTAACGCCGACATCGGAATCCTGTCGCAAGCAAATAGCGATGAATCCTTGTCCAGCGGCCATACATATTGCACAGATCAATGTGTGGGTCCGCTGACTGACACTCATCAAAATACAAACGACTTCAATGAACTATAGAGTGACCTAACGCGCAGTAAAAAAACAACAACAAAAACAAAAACTAACGCGCCAAAAATAAAAGGATCCGGCCAGCATCCAGCGACACAATATAGGCGTACAACATTGATGCATATCGTGCAGATTTCTTTCATGCTAGTGCTGCGAAAAGTAGGTCAAAAGTGAGCGCCCTTGCTCCATAATAGTTGTAATAAACAGCCAATTTTGTTTATTTGGCTTTGGATCATAACGCCGTCTGAGATGTTTTGGGGCGAATGGTAAAACACAGTGCGACAGTCACACAAATACATGAAGTGCTTCAAGCCCCGGTCTCTCAGAGTCGTACCGTTACACACGGATGTTTGGGCTTAAACGGGGATGGTCTGGCCGCTGCAGACCAGACATGCTGCGGAATATATTGGATATTGCTGACGAAAGAGCACATTGCACATGTGGAAGTGGTGCACGACGTAGATATCTGGATGTATGTCTCGGGTTTCCACACGGATAGGCCGCGGGCATACCACCAGGGCACAAGTCTCTGTATGCGGTTGAAGAAAGACTGCCAGTATTGTTACACGGCAAATGTTGTCTCCGTCAAGACATCGGATTTCCACCTTCCGGCTCCCACACGGCCGGCGCTGGCATACAGCCCCCACCTCCCGGATTCCACAAAGCCAGCGTCGGCATACAGTTCCCACCTCCCGGCTTCCACAAAGCCAGCGTCGGCATACAGTTCCCACCTCCCGGCTTCCACGCAGCCAGCTCCGGCATACAGTTCTGGCAGAAAACAGGCGCCAACAATATTCCACACCCACTTCGCCTTTCAAATCTGGCTCCACCATACCTTTCATAATCTGGCCCCACCTGGCTCCAGTCGTGACTGCCAGGAGATATGAAGCACAGCCAGCGTGGGGACACCTTGGAGAAAAACACTCTTTCGGAACATTCGTGAGGAACAATGTGATGTGCGACCTAGCAACGTCAAAAAACATATCCCAAGACCTCAGTCCAGCAGCCGAGCCGTGCCCGCGCGTGCGCTCCGTACGACACGACACGTTCGTCGAGAGGTCCCCCAAGCTGCTTCCGTACCTGACATTTTAAATTAAGGCTAATCTTCAGAAGCCATGCCCTGCGTCCATCTTGCCCGCCCGCCTCGAACTAAAGAGCAAACTAACGAAATGGCGAATAAGGCGACTATCGATATCGCAGAAAATCCTGAACCCAGCGCGAATCAATGAGTCCCGCTCACAGGAAGCATTCAGTTTAATCGGTCTACCAAACAAGCTAGTGTAGTCAGCGACTGTCGATTCTTGCACAGCCGGGTGAATGTTCGGCCACGATCGATTCAGGGGGATCAGGGAAATCAGGGAGATCAGGGATAGCCTTCCGGACACCCTGCCGCAGCCAAAGCCGTCGCCAAGACCGAACTGGACCGGACCGAAACGCCGCAGCACCCGCGGGGGCCGAAAAAAGCAGCCGCTGCTGACTTACCGTTTCTATCGTAGTATGCGTGCTCCTCGTCGGAGGACAGGTCGGTGGCGTCCTCGGTGGCGGGTGGCACCGGCTCCGAGCTTAGCAGGGGCTCGGCCGCCGGCGCGTCGGCCGCCGGCGCCGTGACCCCGTTGACCTTGGTCTTCTCCGGCGGCGCGGCGGCGGCCGGGCGGGGGCGGTCTCCGGAGCCCGCCGCCGCTGCCAACTGGGACGGAGACACGGCATGATTTGAGGCGGGCCGCTGACGCACCCACGGCAGAGCCCAGGTCAGAGAGACCACAGGCGCGGCACGCACTCCGACGGCCACAGCGGCACCAAGCCTGCCCGGGCCGACGGTCTGTCCGGCTGGGATAACTCGGTCTGCTCAGCCCCGACCATACACGCCCGAAAATCAAGGCCACACTCCCCCAAAACGGGATTTGCTCATTTGGGCACAAGCTTTGACAATATATCTGAAACAGCCGTCTGGATGCAGACGATATCTCGGCTCCATGCTTTATTGAAATGCGGAGCTGCGCAATTATTTTACGTCATCTGACTTGTGTTATATACGAATGGGTTTATCTATCGGGAGTGCGCTTTACGGCTGTCTTACGTTTTGAAACGGGCCTGCTTGATTTTGGAAATGCAATACACCCCGCGCGCCGAGCACCATCTGAGCACCCAAACATGTTCGAGAGGCTCATTCAGACCGGCTCATCCACATCTCATTGACTTGCCATTGCGATATCGGAGCGCGTGCTGAAGTTTTCTGCAAGCAAGTAACTCTCGACCTCTTTAACACTCATGTGACATTGGACACGGCAGATATGCACTAGCTGTGCCCGCCGCGGCGCACGACTTTACATTGTCCGAGTGTTCCCGACAGCTCCACAGTCGTGCCGTGTCAATGCACGAAACTTAGTCAGAAAAATGATGTAGGCAATCATACCCCGTGGGCCCAATGTAGACGAAAGCTTCAGCCGTGCAAGCAATGGCCTGATATATTCGTGGATCTGCTCTACGATAAACTAACAAAATTGCTGTTTCCAGGTGAAGCTCCACAACCCCAACCACACAAATACCTTATGTTGAAGTTTATCATAGCCGGATTTGATACCTGGAAAGAGACTGATAACGTGAGGCTGGACAGACACTGTGCTTTGAGCACCTTCCTGGCCCCATGATCGCACTGCAGGCCTACCCACCTGGTCGATCATCCTGTGAGTATCTGCTAGCTCTGACCTCAGGTCAGTGACCTGGGACTGGGCCACCTGCAGGTTGCTGTCGATGCGGGATCCCAATATCTGGTTGTCCTCCATCATGCTGTGGAACTTGGTCTGTGGACAAAATAGTGTTCGAGTGGTTTTTCTTCGAGAGTCCTTAGCCGGGCCCCTTACAGTGGCACCACGCCAGTCACACAGCTGAGGTCAACTGACTGTCGGCATAACACCATCGATTCGTACAAGAAACTATTGAAATATCAAAGTATAGCTGAGTCGCGGGAAGCCAGGTCGTGTCGAATTCCTGTCGAGACTATCTGTCACGCACAGGCACCTCTCCATAAATAATGTCACGGTGGATCGCGGTGGATTCTGGCAAGCAGGCGCTCGGCTGGGCTGTCCACTTCGCGCACCACATGGGCCATGCAGCTCACAGGCCCAAGCTGCTGGAGCGTACTGATGGCAGGCTGCTATGATAGGCTGCCGGAGCGAAGCTCCTGTCAGTAACAATACATATAATTAAGCTTACTTTAAGAAAGCTTGGTACGACGCAGGTATCCATTTATATCCCTTTGAAGCGACTTGTTCACCATGTTTTTCTAGGCGCGTTAACACTGCACCAAACTTACCAAAACGTGCTTAACCCGTGAAATGTCAAAATCAGGAGGTAACCGAAGGAAAACGCATCCTCGGAGTCCAAATTGTTCTTACAAGGCTCCGCTTATGGAAATGTCCGCGGCCACGGACTCCATACGGTATCACACCCTACTACGCCTTCCACCTATGCCAGCCACCCTGCCAATATATATAGCTTACTCACTATATTAAAGTGCATACGACAACATATTCTGATAAAAAAGCACAACCCTAAATGTCTTAAAAACAGACCCATTCACTGGCGCAGGCACAGGGGGCACGTACCTCCCCCCACCCACACAAAGCTTAGGTGCCGAGGGGCCCTTTGGATCTCTCGGGACAGATGTTTAAGGGTCGATTTGAGGGCCCCGAAGGGTTTGCCGTAGGTCGTATTAGGAGCCCTCGTCTTGTGGGCCGGCCCTCAAATGCCGCTCAAAGGGCCATTTGCACCGATTGAGGGCCCGCTGAGCCGATGAGGGCCACTATGTTGAACAGACACCACCAGCACCGAGCAATGGACTCTGTGTAAAATGGGCCATATGGAGGGACCATTTCCAAAGCAGGAACAAGGGTGGACCCCACAATTACGTTGGCCGGAGCCCTTGAGTCAATACGGTTTCTCCTTCTGTGTCGGCCAGCGACCTACAGTGTCTTTAGCGGTTCCTGTGCTGGCAAGGGGCCCCCGAGTCGGCCAGGCGTAGTTTTCGAGGCGGTCCGAAGAGGGGCCCGATGGGCCTTTCAGGACTGACAGTCAAGGGATCAATGAAAAAAGCCTGAAGGGCCCGAAAGGCTAGCTGGCCGTAGATCTTATTAGGAGTTCTGGTCCGAAAGATCTTGACCTCAGACAGAGGGTCAGAGGGTCTCTCGGACCCATTGAGCAATCCCTTGACAACACGAGTCTATTTCGGCCAGAGACAAACAACATCGAAAACTTGGCCCTGGCTCCGTGTTATTTTGGGCCCTGGGGGCCCATTTTCAGAGCAGGAAAAAGGCCGAGCCCACGAAATGCACTTGTCTGAGTCCTTGGAACAATGTGGGGCCCACAGTGACAAACAGGAGCCTCATGTCGGAAAGTGGCCTAAGTCGGCTGGGGACGTGTTTTAGGGGCTCAAGGGGCCCAAATGGGGTCAAGATCACGGGCCCGATTGGAAAGCCGAAGGACCCAAAAGGCAGGCTAAAAGTCACATTAATGATTCTCGCTCTAAGGGCCGCAAACTCAAATGTCGGCCAGAAGGCCCCTTACACTGAAAGAGGACCATTGGGACAAGGAGGGTCCCTGTTTCAGCGAGAAAACACCAACACCAAGCAGATGACCTCGTGTCTAGGTCGTGTCAGAGCACTAGGGGCCCATCTACCAAGCAGGCACGAGGTCGGAGCACGCGATTTGCATTGATAGGAGCCCATGCAACAATGAGAGACCCTGTGTCAATTAGGGCCCCCAGCGCATAATAGAGGTTTCTGTGTCAGCAAGGGTCCTGAGCCCACCATGGGAACGCTTTCCGAACACGCATAGGGACAGGCGCCAAATACCAGAGGGCCCCTTGCATTTGTTGTTGCCCTCCGCCGATGAAAGAAGATATGAGAGCTTATGGCGACTCCACAGTGAAGAAATACAATGGATGTGCGTCAGTCAAGGCCTCTAGTACAGAACGGAGGCCTCCACCCCATTTCAGCTAAGGACCCGTTAGGCCGGACCGGAGTGACTGTGCCAAATACTGGATCGCCCGCGGCGATAAGGAATCGTGTTGTGTCAGCGACGACTCCTGCGGCGATCCAGGGCTAACTCCCGGACCAGCGGGCCTCCCGCGTCAGGGAGGGGACCAATGTATGACATATTCCTCTAAGGGCCGCTTTATCAACATTGACCAAAAACGATAATGCGCTCCTTAGTGTCCTACTCACGAACCCCTTTCCCGAGAAAGGTAAGGAGTCTCACCAGTGTTCAGCTGAGTGGATCGGAGTGATATAAAAACGGACATCTTTGGCCGCGGCATATTACACCAGGCCGCGGACGCTGGACGTGCGAGAACAATAGTCGAGGATTAATGATTCAGACAGGCTTTTGCACCACTCGAAGCTTAGGCTAGGGCGCACATCTTTCCATCACTGGATTCCTGCACCGCTTCGCGGTGCTGTAAATGCTAATCCGTTTCCACGAGCAATTTAAAAATCGCAAGAGTGAAATATTCACCCGAGGTAAATTCTTAACCTGTGAATTGATGTCGTCAATCGTTCAAAGGTAGTCTTTTCAGATATTTATCGATTTTGTCCGTTGTTAGACGCCACCTAGTGTTAGCCGCAGGACTGACGCTGCAGGCCTGCGGAGACTGCAGCGTCAGGTGTCGGGTGTCGGGTTTGTCTGATCTAGAGCATGGACTACCACATCCCATAAAAGTGATCTCATGATCCATGAAACGGGCTTCTTGATGCAGAAAAAGTTTTTTGTTGTTGTGACCGACCTAGCACCCTCTAGCTCCGCTATAAGGGCCTTCTCGATCTGAATTTTGTTAATCCACGTGAGCCTTTCCTTGGACAAAAAGATTTCTCGAAATTGGTTTTTGGCAAAACATAATCTTCCCCTGCTTGACGGCAGGGGTAGGAAGGAGCAGGCAGGAGGGCACAACAGGGGGGGGGGAGCAGCTGTCCCTCTGCCCTTCCCCCTACTGCGCCGGCGTTGACCAAGACCAATGCCATAATGTGTGCAGGTAGGCGACCATTTCCTTGCGCGCCCAATACGGACGCCCAATAACGCAATTTTGTCGCCTGCCCTTCTCCCATCAACCTCCTAATGTTTAGGTGCTTGCTGTTTAAGAATTCAAGTACAGCGTCGTAAGACCGATCCCTCAGAACGGTTGACAACGTACCTACCATACAAGAAAGGGGAGGAGCAGGTCGGACAGGAGATAGGATAAGACAGCAAAAAGTACATGGAGATGTTACAACGTGCACCCAAAGGCAGGCCAACACCCAACACCCACTCATTCTTTCCACCAATAAAACTTGCCATTTGAAATAAAAAACGAATTCATCACAGCAAACTCAAGGAGACTTAAACACGAACACGCACACAACACACACACACCACACACACACACACACACACACACACACACACACACACACACACACACACACACACACACACACACACACACACACACACACACACACACACACACATATATATATATATATATATATATATATATATATATATATATATATATATATATATATATATATATATATATATCTCTCTCTCTCTCTCTCTCTCTCTCTCTCTCTCTCTCTCTCTCTCTCTCTCTCTCTCTCTCTCTCTTTATATACAAACTTACACACGCATGCAAGACCGTATAATATCCCGACCAGACTGTAAGTCACTGCAACGGGGCTTCGACCGACCATAAAAGGCCCCATTCCGCCGCGCGAGGACTTTCTCAATCGCACCAGGCTGAGCCCCCATCGTGTTTACATCTCTTTCGGTCGCCAGGAATAGCGGCTGCCTGAATCTCGTCGGCACCGCTGTCCGTGCCAGCTCGCAAACGCCGCAGGCGGTCCACCCCTGACCCCGGCGGCCGTCCAGAAGCTGATGGATGCCGCAGGCGGTCGACCCCTGACCCCGGCGGTCGGCCGGGAATTGAAGGGCGCCGCGAGCGGTTCATCTCCGACCCCGCCGGTACAGAACACAAACGCCCGATGACGGCCCGGTGCCCACCTGCACCGCTAATATTTACGCCCGTGGGAAATATTTACCGCGGACTGGAGAGAAATAAGTGGCTGGTCACGAAGCTGTAACGCACTGTGCTGGCGGAGCATCGTCTCATTGTACTCCTTACGTGACGTTGGGTATGATGTTGCTAAATAGCGATATGTGTCGGACTTTGAATACACCTGACTTAACTTAATGGTGATTACGTTGTATTGTCACTACGAACATCTGTAAAAATGACGGTTCTAAAATGGATTGGACCCAACACAGAAGCTCCTTATCTTTTTTTTTCGTTCAGAGGGAAAAGGAAACTATGATAACATAAAGAAGACTTTCGATCTGAGACAATTGAAACATCATTTACCTTCACGATTTGTTTTCGTCGCAAACATGCAGACGGGACGGTAGAGCACTGTCATCACGTTCTCGCCTCCAATAGAACCTATGCTAGGATCAAAACTCAGCGGAGTTATCACATAATTCCAAAAAAGAAACACCCGGAAAAGAAAGCACCAACTAAATTAACAACGCGAGTCGCACATCCCGATAAGGTTTATCAACGACACGTTTTTGATATATCAAATTCCCAAAGTACACACCCAGAGGCCGGTTGAATACCCTCCGCTCGGGTGGAAGTGGGTGGGTTGGGGTAGTTTGAGCTCCCTAAGATCCTAAAAACTGAGAGTGCTGGACAATTATATTCACAGGGTAAGCTTTACTGCATATGAACTTACTTTTCACCAAATTTGAGGTTCGTAGATGAAATACAATAACTAAATAGCTTGGTCGATAACTAACTACCGTGAGCCAGGGAGCTGAGTTTCCACGACTAAATATATGCGAAATGCAGGAGATACCGAATAGATTCTCATTAATCTAAGCATTATAGCAAAGATCCGGAATCCGGACAAGAATTTAGAGCACTTTCCCGTCGGGCTGAGCTGCGCCTGGGGCACTCTCCGTCGGGCTGAGCTGCGCCCGGAGCACTCTCCGTCGGGCTGAACTGCTCCCGGAGCACTCTCCGTCGGGCTGAGCTGCGCCCGGAGCACTCTCCGTCGGGCTGAGCTGCGCCCGGGGTACTCTCCCGTTGGGCTGAGCCGCGCCCGGGGTACTCTCCCGTTGGGCTGAGCTGCGCCCGGGGTACTCTCCCGTTGGGCTGAGCTGCGCCCGGGGTACTCTCCCGTTGGGCTGAGCCGCGCCCGGGGTACTCTCCCGTTGGGCTGAGCTGCGCCCGGGGTACTCTCCCGTTGGGCTGAGCTGCGCCCGGGGTACTCTCCCGTTGGGCTGAGCTGCGCCCGGGGTACTCTCCCGTTGGGCTGAGCTGCGCCCGGAGCACTCTCCGTCGGGCTGAGCTGCGCCCGGAGCACTCTCCGTCGGGCTGAGCTGCGCCCGGGGTACTCTCCCGTTGGGCTGAGCTGCGCCCGGGGTACCTCCCGTCGGGTTGAGCTGTGCCCGGAGCACTCTACCGTCGCCGAACAAACTGACTCACTTGACAATTATGCACTCGCCGCCAACGCTGACTGAAGAGCACATACTCGGCTGAGGCGAGTGGCGCGCGCCACCGGCTGGGCCCTCACCTGGGTCTCGTTCAGCATCTGCCTGACGAGCACGACAGACGCGTACAGCGCCGTCTTGTGGCCCTCCGAGAGAGACTCGACATCATCGTAGTCAACGTCCACCTCGCTGAGCTGGGTGTGCAGCTGTTCCAATGACTGAAGCACTGCAACACATCAGATAGGAACGCCATAAGCTGGGCGTGCAGCTGCTCCAGCGACTGAAACACCGGAACATATCCGACAGGGACGTCTAAAGCTGGGTGTGCAGCTGCTGCAGCGACTGAAACACTGGAACATATCCGTCAGGGACGTCATAAGCTGGGTGTCCAGCTACTCCAGTGACTTGGGCACTGCCGCACATCAGACAGTTACGTCATAAGCTGGGTGTGCAGCTGCTCCAGCGACCAGGGCACTGCCGCACATTAGACAGTGACGTCATAAGCTGGGTGTACAGCTACTCCAGCGACTTGGGCACTGCCGCACATCAGACAGTTACGTCATAAGCTGGGTGTGCAGCTGCTCCAGCGACCAGGGTACTGCCGCACATTAGACAGTGACGTCATAAGCTGGGTGTACAGCTACTCCAGCGACTTGGGCACTGCCGCACATCAGACAGTTACGTCATAAGCTGGGTGTGCAGCTGCTCCAGCGACCAGGGCACTGCCGCACATTAGACAGTGACGTCATAAGCTGGGTGTACAGCTGCTCCAACGACTTGGGCACTGTCGCACATTAGACAGTGACGTCATAAGCCGGGTGTGCAGCTGCTCCAGCGACCGGGGCACTGCCGCACATTAGACAGTGACGGCATAAGCTGGGTGTGCAGCTGCTCCAGCGACTTGGGCACTGCCGCACATTAGACAGTGATGTCATAAGCTGGGTGTGCAGCTGTTCCAGCGACTTGGGCACTGCCGCACATTAGACAGTGATGTCAGGGATGGAGGAAACGCCGCCAGGATGCCTGACGCCGACAACGTCAACGCTGCAGGTGCGGAAGGTGTAACTTTTCATGCGGCTAAACCAGGAAAGCATTGGAAACAGGAAGACTTGGCACAAGTTCTGCTGCGCGGTCTGTTGCCCGGGCTGGTTGGATATTACGTACCATCAACTACGTCGCCGTGGGTGATCTGTCTGTTGACCTTATTTGAACACGCAGCGAACAGCAAGTATGTTTGGATCAACCGTAGATGACGACATCTCTGAGATCACCCCTTAAAATCTGGCTTCATGGGCCAATGAAGGTATACATTTGTGCTTGCAACGCCTACGCGCGTGCTTATAAAGCCAGTCATAAATTCAATTAACACAAAGGGGATTCGCCTAATCCGATTTACCCTCGCCTACAGCATCGCGGTTATTCCTACAGCGCTGCCAAACCAGTAGGCTTAAAAGCCTACTGGCTGGTTGTTCCACCACCAGATAACTTGCTAAGTGTACTAATCTCACCCACCCATGCCCAGTGCTTCTCTGCAGCAGACCATTCCTTCATTGTACCACCCGCAGGCTAAGCTGCCGCCATCTAGATAACCTATTTTATTTCCTGCGGGCCGGCAAGTGCGGCCGTAATGAGGCTTTCCCCCGACGTTTTCCTAGTCCGCGATTTATCGTACCAATTACGTGACCCCATCTGGGGCCGGGCATGCCCGGGCGCACCGAGGCGCGCTGTCCCCGCGCACGCCGCGCCGCGCCACCCCGCCGTCCAGATCGATTGTGAGGGAGCCGCCCGCCCTCAGAGCCGTCCCACGCCGCTGCCGTCCGTCTGCAGTCATCAGCGGCGAGGCGTGAACGTGCGTCCACAGCATCAACACCGAGCCTGGTGGCCTGACCGGCCATCCGGACGAGGCGATCTGCTCGTGCGCATACGGACTGAGACATTCTTCTGCAAGGCGACGTTTTAGTCAGGTCTTCGCAAACGCGTGGTAAAATTGCATAACGAGGATGGAGCAGACACTGGGCCCACTCGGCTAGCAATGGCGGGATACAACCGCGCACCGTGTCTTTCGTCTTCGCCGACTTCGATGGTCGGCCGCCTCCAGTCGGGTAAGAATGAAATAATGCAAGCAAATGCGGCGTTACAAATATAACTATTAACCTTTGAAGCCTTGCAAATACCAATGCGCCACCAGGCTATTACAATTTGAGAGCAAACAACATTAGTGCTTTCTTTGCTGCATGTTGCTTTGCAGGCGTAATGCCTTTGATTTCTATGTGGTTTACGATATCACTGGATCTTGAACTACCACAATGACCACTTAATGTCACTATGCTCATATTCCAGGCAGCTGAGGCAGCAAACCACGAATTTTAATCAACTTGTGAAAAGATATTCGCTCCGTGGTTCCTACTCACACTCAAGGCATGCCATCTTTCTCTCCCTCTCTTGCTCTCCCCCCTCTCTCTCTCTCCCTCTCTCTTTCTCTCCCTCTCTCTCTCCCCCTCTCTCCCTCTCTCTCTGTCCCTCTCTCTCTCTCTCTCCTCCGTCTTCCTCTCTCTCTCCGCCCTTCTGTAGGTTTCGCTTTCAATCTTTGCCTGCCTCAGAGACAATTCCGCAAATCTCGTCAATTCTATCTCGTTCGCGTCAATTTCTCATTTCCGTCCATTGGGCTGCCAATTCTCTCTTCCATGAGTTCTGACGTCATTTACCGGCAGCCGACCCCGGCCACTTCCCTCCGTGGCCCACTTCTCGGCTATCTCTGTCGACACGTGTCACTGCGTGACAGGCCATTACGCATCCGTACGCAGAGGGACGGTCAAACTCCTCCGACACGAGGAGCCTTCGGAAGCGTCCTGGCCCGCGCCCGTCTCATCCGCGCATTCTCGGGCATGTTTTGCACCAGGCTTACGTCGCGGTTGAATAGGCCAGTACCAGGTCGTGGGCCATCCTGAGGGGACCCCACCCGACTATTGAGCTCGCCCACGCCCCCGACACGCCCAATCAGAGCTGACACGCAGTGCGGATCATGTCGACCCCCGCTGACCGGACAGTGACCGCGGTCAACCAGCGGGTTCGGTCTCCGTTGACTCGGCAGTTCACAACCGGTGATGAGCTCGTCAAACCATGTCATCAGTTCACGGAAAGTTGGTACGATTTTCGGTAATGTCACTACTATATTCTATTGGATAGATTAAAAGTGAGCTAGTTAAGCTATATATTACCCCAGGCAACCAGACAATACAGAAATGCATGTGAGGTAGGTAATTACCTCCTCGAAATGGAAAGCAATCCTGGGACAAAGCAGGTTGGCACCGACATTCTCAGGGCACAAGCTGTCACGCAACAAACCGCAATGTTGGCACCAATATGACCGTCAGGGTTCACTGCGCAACGAGTGATGACTGGCAACTAAAACATTCCCAACTCTACTGGATACCTTTTCTGATGGCTACCTTTACCGTACTGACGTAGGGCCGGTCGCCCCAGGGCAGCAAATACTGCAAAATGCCTGGAACTGCGCAGTACAAACGGTTCCAAGGCAACGTTTATCTCCGAGGCGGGGCAGGAGGCGATGCAGACACTTGACACTCCTTGCCGTGGAAGACGCACCAATCTACCTCAATGACATATGCAAACTACACAACCCTCTGAAGAATTCAGGACTGGGCCCCTCATGCATGCTACCTGACCGCTCCAGCGATCATTCTTTCCTTGCGTTCTCTCAGCCCTCCGCGCGATCTCAGCCAATGAGCATGTACCATCGATGACAAGTGGGCCGGCCTCGGGTCCTCTTCTTTATCGGGTGCCGCGCGTTGTGCCTTATTCGAAATAGGGCTCCGCGGCCCCGTCGTGCATACCAGATGAGCTTGCGGTGGCACTTGGCATACGGCATGCAATGAATCTGGCTGTCATGTCCGGATTAGGTTTCAAAGTTTAAATCCGATCTATGTGAGAAGAATATATTGAGCGCCGACGTGACCTTAGAGAGCGCGGCAGCTCCGGCTTATGAAGTACGGAGGCGTCGAGTCCCCGGCAATCGCTCGGAAATTATCCAGCTATGAAGCTGGACAAAACAAAGGCGAAGCTTTTGTAACTGTAGCTCGATGTTGAATTGGTCTTCCATGTCGTTGTGCACGTTGTGCATCAGCATCTGAATAAGGGCGGTCAGCGTCTTTGAGAGGTGCGTTCAACACGTAAAGACGATACCAATTCACATGCTTCTGGTTGATACATGGCGCCGAGTAAGACCGGAGCAATGGTCCAAAGTAATAGGGCTAAGACGAGAGCGAACAGTTTTGATTGAAAGGGAAGGGCACATCTAGGATCAAGGTCAGGCCTAAAACTTATAAGCGTGGCTGGTTAAAGGGTGACCTGATAATCATACTATCCCATTGGGCTTTCTTTTCTCTTCCCTGCTTTCTTACGTCAGCGCGCCGTGCCAAAAACCGATGAGAACATTGCAGCCGGTCCTGCAGACGACCACACGAGTGAGCGGAGCACGCGGCGGCTACCAGGCACCCCTTTCCTTCCCTCCCCACCGCATGACCTGTTCCGTCCTCTCGTCCCCGCCGCGTGACCTGTTCCGTCCTCCCGTCCCGCCGCCTGACCTGTTCCATCCTCCCATTCCCGCCTTCTAACATGTTCCTTCCTCCCGTCCCCGCCGCTGCCGCCACTTCTCCGCGAAGCAAGCGTCAGCCAAACAGCCGGGCGCGGCGCGCGTATTTCACATGGTTAAACGAGTCCTGCCGGCGACGAAAACAGCTAACATTCTAGAGAAATTTGTGGACAGAAATGTCTTTGAGAGTAAGCCTTGATATCGCTGCAGTACCATCCGTTTGACTTCAGATCGGGATTCTCGCGTTTCGCGTGTTTCGCAGCTTGCGATTTCTGCGAGACGCAATCAAGTGCGGATCCAGGGGGCAAGGGGCACCCGGGCCATGCTTCCCCAAGATGGTCAAGGCCTTGTAAAAAATGCCATCTCCAGAGTTAAGACCTCGAAGAAACCACGATAACTTCTCAGAGAATATTTTCTGCAGAATAATTTCTGCGAGACGCAATGAAGTGCGGATCCAGGGGGAAATGGAGCCACCGGGTCATGCTTCCCCAAGATGATCAAAGTCTCGCAAGAAATGACATCTCTAGAGTCTAGACTTCGAAGAAAGCAGAAAAACTTTTACCAAGGGGGGGAGTTTAAGAACACTCGTATAAAAGAAAGCGAAATCCGTTGAA